GTGTGTGTGTGTGTGTGTGTGTGTGTGTTGTATATGGACAAACTCCAGCACTTTGAGTTTGGTACCCCCTGCTGGTGGAACAGTGAACTAACAAATGACTGGGGCCTTGACAGACTGTAGGTCAGCTCTGTGACCTCTGACCCCACACCAGGAAAAGACCTTGTGGAAAACACAAGTGTCCCATGCAGTTCATAATGTAGATAGTGAGCCTGCAGGCATTATGTCTGTATCTACGTAAACACTGAGTTCATGGCCACATTTATTTATTTGTCATTGTGTGTGTAAGCTGCAAATGAATCACTTTAATGTGCTTTCTTTAAACCGCAGGCAGAGGCCACCAAGCACGCAGCCAGTCTGCAGTTAGGCCCGATATGCTTTAAAGAACCTGTAATCACAGTCCACAACACACACACACACACACACACACACATGTGCACACATGCACTTGCAAAGCATTAAGTGGGAACATTTAGTGGTGTGAAGAGCAGCCTGAATCTACCCCCTCTCTCAGCTTCAGCAGAGTCTGTATATAAATATGACCGACATGACAGCTCCCAAAAAGTGAAACCAAATTATTTGAATCGCCCCCTGGTGGCTGGCTGCAGTAAAGGTCATAAATCCCTCCTCCTACATGTTAGCAGAAAGTCAAAGTACACGTTCCAAAAGGTGGTTTCTCACAGCTCAGTTCTTTTGACACTGACTTTTGTTCAGTAAGAAATTCATAAGCGCAGGGATTGAATACATTTGGCCTTAGTCCTGCTCTGGCACTATTGTGACAACATCTTAACCATTCCAACTGGTTTCTTGTTTGCACTTCACTTCACAAAGACACTTGCAACAGGAACCTACAAAGATTCCACGTCATGTTTTTCATCTCCTCAGCTGACATGTTGCTTGATTGTTTTATTATTTACACATCCAACTAAAATGGAACTCGGGCCCAACCCCTCCCTTACATTCAATCTATCTGCCCAAAATTGTACATACTCACAGAAATCAATTCCCTAAATGGGCCTCGTTTGATCACCAAGATCCATGAATCATTCTATGGGAAAATGTTTTTAAAAAAGCAGCCAATTTTTCACAATCTTACAGAAAATTAAACAAAAAATCTTTTCAGCGTCAACTACAGCTGAACTTTTCATGTCTTCCATTTTTCTACAAGTTACCAGACAAAATTCAGAGGAAGAATCCTCCTTGAAGGAGCCATTAGCAGCCATTATGAGCGACAGAGGAGATGTGCACACGCATTCTTAGCTTTATGATTATTATTGTTGGCTCTGGTTCAGACTCTATCTTGTGCTGCTAACCGTGGAGTCAGTGTCTGACTGAGGGAAGTGTATCACATGCCAACAAAGGATGAAGGAAAGGGGCTCGTAGGATGAACATCAAAAAGCTCCGGGGGTCGTATCGCAGCGCTGCGTTGTTTTCCCAACCAGAGGAGATGAAGAAAGAAGTGTGGACCTCAAAGCCAAAGTAAAGTTTGACTGTCAAACACTGAGGTTGAACCTGTCCTCTCCGTAACCCCGGCATCGTTAAACAGCGGTATCAGCCAGAGCCCCTGCCCGGCTCAGCAGCTCTGCCTTGGCACTCAGGTGGTCTCCCATAACTCTCACCCTCTCACCCCAATACTTCACACTGAGACAGCAGTCAAAGATATTCAGACTGAGCAGCATGCTGCCCTGAAATTTATGAACAGTAGTTAGCCAAGCGATTTACAGCATCACTGTGACCCCGCTGGCCCCAGCGAGCGACTTCTGTGATCGTCTATCCAGATGCCTGCGCTGCCGTCTAAACGGGCCCTCAGTATTCAACACTAACACCATGACCGACAGAATAAAAATGAATTAATATTGTTATTCTTCTTTTTTTTTTTTCCTCTTTAAAGAGGGCGAGGGGGAGAATGAGCTTCGGAAAAGTCCCGCTTGACAAAGGAATGTGAGGCGCTGAAAATGACTTTCCAAGACCTGGATAGTTGTGTCTCCAGTCTCCACACATGGGGCTGAGGCCTGGAACGGTCAAATGACGACTTTCACCTCAAATCAAGACAAATTCTGCCAGAATCCCTGCTGCTTTTTTGCTCTGATGCAAATGATGACAATGCTTTACTCCATGTGCACACACACACACACACACACACTTAGATGAACAACAGTAAAACTGATGCAAATGTTCACGTCGCTGCCACTTTTTTAACAAATAACAATTTTGCATTAACATTATTTTAATTGTTGATTAATATTATATTATATTATAATACGGTTTCAGAGTAGAGTGAGTCAACACACCAAATCAACCAAAGATATCCAGTTCCATAACACAAGCGGATCAAATTCTCACGTTTCAGAAGCTGGAACCAGCAAATGTTTCCTATTTTATTGGTTCAAAAATAAATAAAACGGTTATGCAATTCAACGTCCACTGAACAATGCCTCACTTTTATAAATGTAAATATATTTCCTTTAAAACCTTTTGCATTTCTCAGCATTATTACTGACTTCATTTTCAAACTGGTTTTCAAATCTCGGGTCGTGCCATCGCAATATCATTGTATCATTGTGTCTGTACCATGACAATAAAGAATCCTAAATATTGATTACATGACTAATCACTGCATCTGTCCAAAGCTGTGAAAATACCAAAGACTTGTAATCTTTCATGACATAAATCTTCCTGAAGAGCAGAGAGGCAGCCCTGGAGAAACCTACTGGTTTTTAGTTCGAACTCACGTGTCCTCGCGACAGGTTGGGCCAAACTGGAGGAGCCTGGTCTCAGATCAGATTGATCCTTTTGATAAGGTTAAGATGACTTTCTGTGATAATTCGAGTGGGTGTGGTTCGTGCCGTGGCTTCTCCCTGTGGCAACTGGGGTTTGTTAACTAGTTGGCGTTTTCTATCATTCTTGTTTTGCCTCTGGGTGTGGGAGTAATATTGCAGACCTTTTGTTTCTGTTGAGTTAAAACTGGGTGTTACTCTACAGTTTATTTTCACAGTGTAGTTCCTTGAGTTTCCTCTCTATAGAGCAAAGACACTTGATCTCCTTAAAGTGTTAGTTGATATTTGTGCTCACATCTGAGGGCTTTCTGACGAGTAAATCTACTTTGTGGACCAACTGGTTTTCTAGTGGATGAGCACTGTGAGTAAGATTATGTCTTTACAACATGGTTTTATTTCAGGAGGGGACACTGAGCTACCACATGGTTGTTTAGAGTACAGGTTGGCCTTGACATGCACAACAGACCTTCACAGTAGCCATATTGACATAAAATGGCAGGTGAACGCAGGTGTTACAACTCACAATTAAAGCCTGGTACATAAACAACTTTATAAATCTCAGTAACACAATATATTTCATGTCAAAATACCCGTTGTTCTATTGTCTTCTGCACTGTCCCACATAGCTCGGCTCCTGCTTGTACCTTTTTTTCTTACCCATTCTAGTAACTGTCCCTCTGGTCATAAAGGGAGATGTAGCTGGTTTGTAACCTGCACTTCAAACTTGTCTCCAAATGGACAAAAGGCAAAATAACTCAGAATGACATGCAGGTTTAAAATGTCAACTACATCAGCGTTTCAAGTTCTGAAGTTTGTTGAAACCAAATCAAGTCATTTTTGTTCATATTCTCAGTATTTTCTTTCAATTACATAGTTTAATTACGTCTTATACTTTGACTTGCTCTCCTCACCTCATTTAGACCTTCTGCCACTGTAATAAGTGAAATTTCCCCGATTTGGGATCAATGGTTAAAATCGTCCAAATCCCTAGAAAGGGATGAGCAGATCTCTTCCTTTGTCGATTACTAAATCAGTGACTTTCCTTTTTTAAGACCTATGAAAAATAATTTTTCAGAAATGACCTGCGGAGGAACTCTGCACAATCGTGTCTGGACTTTCTCCACAGTTAAGAAAACTCAGCCAGAGAATGGAAATTCGAAGGAAGTGGTTAACATGTGTGCAGAACGCCATCCTTTGGAGAATCTATTGACATTTACTGCCTCATCTCCAAGCAAAGAAACCACAGCAAACAAAGCTACGACTATGACAAAGGATCCTCATTCCACTGGTGTCGTTTATCCATGCATTCAGAAATCAGTCACTATGCAAATGAATACAAGTAAAACTGGTTCTGCCTGATCCACACCCCCCTCTGTCTGTTGTTCAGGTATTATCTTGGGCTACAATTCATCAGGTTAACTTCATATTCAATCTTGATGTAAATGGAACAAAAATCTGAACATACATAACCTATAGAAACTGTCAAAATATTTTAAATAACATTTTTCCATTAATGGCAAAATGCCAAAACTTCTGCAGATGAAGTTGATAGAAATATGACTCCAAACTAGAACGGCACTCAATAGAGCATACACCTCTGCCAAGGCCCGACAGTCCCCTTAATCAGAAACTACACTATAGATATCAGTCCCCTAAATACGCCTAATTTTTTCCCCCCGATCAAGATCCATGAATTCTCTCTTGTCTATTATTTACAAGGAAATGAATTGAGTAGTTTTTGCCTAAGCCTACTAACAGTCAGTAGGCTTATAGTTCTGCCATAAAACAAATAACCTCCATGGTGGAGGTAATGAATAACTTAGCTACGTGAGCTATGTTCGCAGCATCGACCAAAAATGTGTCAGTGTTTTATTCCCAGTTTGTTTCTGCTGCCCCCAAGAGGCCAAAACAGCCAGTAATTGTAGGAGATCATACTACCGACCTGGAGTGAATCACTGTTATACAAAATCGAAAGATAATCTCAAAGATCATCCAAAAACTGCGAGAAGAAGAGTTCACACAACACCAGACTAAACAATGGCTTCAGGATATCAGTAATCCTGAAATGTACTCACACCTTTGTTTCTCCACAAACTACGAACTGTGTGGGCGTGTTAACAAACAATGCCAACTGAACTTTGCACCCTCTGCATTGACAGGCAAATGTTCATTCAATCCCATTAATCTTGATAAACTGGCTCTTTGTCACGTTATCATCCTACAAATTTACATTTTATAATAAGAGACGGGAATAATCTGGGTTTATATCTGGATTGGGTCGTTTCAGGCAAATACAAGTCAATAAAAACGTCACCTTTAATGCAACAGGACAAAAGACAGGGATTAAAATGTGTTGCGGCAAAGAAGGATCTAACAACACACGAAGTTACTTTCCAATTCTGCATTCAAGGGGAGATTTATACATAAAACGTTGAGCGAATGATTCTCAGTTTTTTGAGCGAAGGTTGATAGACTTTGCTTTTGAAGCCTGAACACTTTTCAAAACATATTTGTGAAACTTTTATCTTGTGTTTAAAAGCAAAAACATGCCATCATTACAGTTTTCTCCATTCAAACAACGACATTTACGACAAACTACTCAAACCTGGACGATGCTGGACAAGTATTTGACGTTGTGAGCTTAGGCGACACTGTAAAAACGGGAGAAACATGACGAAGGGGCCATGTTATTTATCAAAATGTTTCTTTGCTTTCAAAGTTCATCCTTTATTCTATTCATGGAAACAAAAGCAAAAAAAAAAAAAAATCAGCTCCCCTCATTAGGAGCACATGATATCAGGACCAATATCTAGACAAGACAAACCCTGATAACCTAAAGACTGGTGAGTTCCTTTATTTTTATTGATTGTACTTTTAAAGCCTACGTACAGGTGGACTTTTATAATCTGCACGTTCCAATGTGGCTTGGCTGGAGGGAAAAAACCCAGTGTAAGTGTGTTTACAAGTAGAATGAATCTTCCACAACAGTCACAGTGGGTTTCAAACTATCTTCAGCTTCTCTGGGTTGAGATTTAAAAAGCCTCCTGACTACACAGGTGCTGCAGCTGCACCTGCTGTGGATCCGGTCTGTACGTCCTGAATGTTTCCTGTCATGTCGAATCACTGGGTGAGATTTGAACAGTGACACACGTGGAACAGCTGTAAACAGCTGTACACAAACAGCCTCTCGACGGGAAAGTGATCGCTGAGAAAGGTCGAGGTTGTATTTCGATAAAGTGCAGCTCGAGGGCTCGTTCATACATTCGCAGAAACAACGCAGGGAGGAAAGTTACCTGTCCGGTGATGCCGGTGATGAGCGCCACCTTTCCCGCCGCCTGCGGTTCTCCGTTCGCGGCGGAGCCGGCGTTGTTGGTCTGGGAGCACTGGGCCATGTTCAACCTGCGGAGTGTTGACGGTCTGGGGGAGAAACGAGCGACAGAATCGGCGAGAACCGAGCGTGTGTTGACAGAGAGAACCCGGAGAACCAGCGCTGGAACCTGACGTACCAGGAAGAGACGACCGCAGCGGCCAATCACAGGGGAGCAGGTAGCGGCAGCAGAGGAGGGTTCAACAAAGAGGGGAGCGAGTCCGAGAGGGAAGCGCGCTGTGAGCACCACAGCGACACCAGCAGGGTGGAGGAAGAAGTGCAATATCCCATTTTATCTCGTTTTTTAACAAAACACCCCCCAAGTCCTCAAATATGTTTTTGTGTCTTTAATTGTCTTTAATAAAAGAGGACAATACACAAAAACATTAATCTCCAAATGAGAAGAGATCATTTGTGCCAGATTGTGCTATTAGCTTATTTTCATCTGCAGTCTTTGGGCAGGTTCATTCTAAATCTAAAACACGCTGTAAGAAACATTTACACACAACACCTCAACATATACAAGCACATTCATTCACTATATCGGAAAAATTACAATTCAACACAATTAAACATCGAAATCACGGTCAGATTAATGTTGACATGACTGGTTGTCACGATCCACCACCAAGATGTTTGTGTTTGAATCTCTGAGATGGACACAGCCACCGTACCAAAGGAAAACAGGCTCAGTAGGAACATGTTTCAATACTTGAGAAATTAACAAACTCTTAAAGGCAGTCATTTCTTTACCAGGCAGATATTAACTTGTACGCACAAGATAAAAACATTTTAATCTTTTGGCTCTGTACATCTTGATAATTTAGAAACAATCAACAATTCTGCAGATGTTTTCCTGCTGTATTCTCAAATGGGCTCACGTTGTAATTCCTCACAGTTTTCACTACAGAGGGCTTTCCTGTTCGTTGCTTTTCAAAACCGGTTTTTAATCTGATAGTCAAAGAGAATTACATTCATCAACCAAAAGGTTAAAGCAAAGGTGTCACTGATTGTTGGGTTTTTGGGGAACAGGTGATTGAACTGAGCTAACACAGAACAAAAGGAGTGCAGGATGCAAGAATTGTCAATGTTTGCTGTCTCGTGTCACATGTGCAGAGCCAGAGAGTTCCTTTTCATCACGGACAGAGATGCACCTCACCCTTTTCAAGCAGAGTCTGGGAGCTGCTTTCATCACAGTGAGTCAAATCTATTGGTAAGAAATTACCATGTACAGCAAATAATGCTGATGTGTTTTGAGACAAAAAATGTGACCCAGGCTCCAGGTAGATAGTGGAGCCTGTCTTTCGACTCCAAGTGCAAATTAGACAAGCTGGGGGGTTGGGTGCAATCTATATATATATTAGCCTCTGAACCTGCTCCTGTGGCCCTTTCACGTCAAGTTTCATAACCTCCGACTTTTCCTTTGTCTTATCAGACACACCCGAAAAAGCACAAGGTAGAAACCTACTATGTAGGTAACTTGCATAATTTATTACACACCACAGGGCACCTTCTTAAAGAAACCAGTCGGGATGTCCCACTTACTGCACCTCGATAGACTCAAATCACCCCACAAGTAAAGACAAACAGGAATTTTGCACTCACTTGACATATATCCCACAATATCCTCTTCCTCATGGAAAGACAGGAGACATTTGAGCTGAAATACAATCATTGCCCGACCAAGGAACAATAGTCTCATGTAGCAACACCCCCAGGTTCCTGCAAGGAATACACAATAAGTACAACAAAGTGTTGTAGGTCGACTATTCAAGGTTTCTTCACCGAGACAGAAACACTCTTCAGAGGAAAGGAACAAAAATAACAGCAAAATCTAATGAAACACATTAGAAATAAGAAATTAAGCCATGGGGAGGAGGACCTGGACGTAGTTTTGTAGGGTAACAAGGGGGAATCTTGGGTGTGGGTCATAACTAAAGTTCACCTCAGGCGAAGGGTCATGAGGTGGCTCTCCTTCACGGTTTTTGCCACATTCTGTCATGTCTTCGTCGTGTTTTGATTCGTCTTATCTCTCGTCCTTGGCAGTGGGATCAGCAGGGTGATGCACTTTATGAATGAAACATATAAAGTGGGAGTTGTCCACCTCTCTAGAGAGAGAAATACGGGACTTATATAATCTTATATAATATAACTTAAGAAACTTAGTTACAATAGATATTCTATTTGAATGGAGGGATTACCCATGTAAGTATATAACTATGGTGTTGCACTATAGGTCATTTGGGGCCTCATTAATTTTGCTATCATGTTTTTGAGTGTCCCTGGATAAATCACAAATGTCACTTGGGCTCAGGATATTGAAAATAATCACATTTCTTAAAGAAGAGTAAACTTTAAAATGCTTTCATATATATATATATATATATATATATATTATAATTGATGTATAAAATATGAGGTCATGATAGTAGATCTATACTGCTAGAGAATGTGACATGCAAATAAGTCAGTGAAACCAATTGTGCAAATGTCACCTTTCTTGTGCCACACCCTGCAAGACCACATTTCACAGTGTGATGCTCCTCCGTCAGAAAACATATCTGCTGTTGGTTTATTTGCACATCATAGTTTTTACAGCAACACTGTCACAGCTCAAATATAAACGATAAATGTCCTCTCCCTGCCAAACCAAGGTTCGTTAAACATCCTGATCAATAAACACGGACGAGGACGTGTCAGAATCTGTTGTTTTATAAATGAGGTGGTGAATCAGCAGGTTTAATGGTTGTTTATATTGGGGCCACTCCCACGTGACGTAGTCTGAACTTGAAAGACCAGAAACACCTGATGACTTCAGGTACAACCACTGAGGACGTGTCTTTGTACGTCACAACTATGCAGCAATGCTGTACATGTCCTTAATGATGCACGTGAGGAACTAAATGCAGTGCACGATGAAGGAATGTGGTGTTTTTGTAGAGATGGCTGATGTGTAGGCCAAGATAAACACAACTTTAGGAGCAGAACTTGATACGTTGACCCCGACTGAGGAATTCCTTTCAGTAGAAGATCCACATCACTGGATACACCGTCGTAACAGGAGCAATCAAACGCTCCGAGCGGCTCCTAATCTCTTATTTTTCTTGTACATTTGACCATGTACGATAACAGCTGCTCCCGCTGAGAGCGTCAGTAGCCTGGTGAAAGCTCCGCAGAGCACAGCATGATGGGAGGTGTGATTTCATTACTGTCTAAAATAAACACCATCGTATAAAGAAGGAAAATAAAGACGTTCTAGTGGTCCTGAGAAACACAGCGGTCGGTTCATCCTGCAGAACAACACACAGCTCTGTTACTGCTTCTCTCTTTTCTTTCTCTTTTCTTCTCTTCTCTTCTCTTTTCTTTAGTTTTCTTCTCTCAACATGATGTGACCTTTTACATTGAACTTCACTAATGAAATATGATGTTCTTGAAATACATAAAGGTTTAAGGTATGGTAAGTTTTTTAATGGCAGCAAACAAAAGCATAACAAGTGAACAAGGACGATTTATTTGAACAATTGTTCTTCAATCAGTGAAATTTTTACAATATCTAAGGCCTCAAATGGTGAAAATCCTTATCCCACGGCTGCTGAGCAGAAAGACTGAGGCTCTGTGTGTTTCACTGGAACGTCAGACAGAAATAAACAGATCCCGGAGATTTAATTGAGATTAGACTGTGAAGTTGTTATTGTTAACTTAATGAATTTAGGTTGGGAGCTGGATTTCCTCGTATCTCTCACTAACTTCAGGGTTTTTAATCTGATAAATGAAGCTCAGTCTGGGACGATGAGCTGATGTTTGCATGGAGAATTCAAATTTCAGGTTTTATGAAGAGGATTCATGTGACAGTGTAAACCCAGAGCTGAGTTTACAAGAAAAAAGGTGTCTGTGCATCAATTCTCTCCATTTTTTAACTTAAACTTTTTTTCTCACGCTCTCGCTGTTTTTCCCAGCAGCCAAAGAATCCTCCGCCTGCACAGAGAGTTTATTTATTCAGGTGAAGTGATGCTGAGGGGAAGATACTTGGGTTTAAGAATTTCACAGTGTGAAGATGAACACAACAGAGTTCCAGTTGTGCTGCATTGATCATTTCTGGCATTAATCAGCATTAATACGGAGATTCTCACAGAACATCTCATGAAT